ACCAGTGATCATGGCTGCTCCGACCCCCTGCGGCCAGCAGCGACAGGGATGGCAGCCTCCCTGGCTCCACTGCCACCACCGTCAGCCCTCCGCCTCAGTAGCCAGGGGCCTCCATGTCGAGTGAGAGCCAGCCCCTGGACCCTGCCGCCCACCCCACCACACAGGCCTACCAGCGGCTCCAGCCAGCACCGCAGAACGACCCACCAGAACCAGGGCTGCCTCCAGGGCGTGCAGGCCCAGGGGAGATGCTCATGGGGGTGGGCGTGCTGTTGGCTGTATAGTCACCTGGGCTAGAAATGGGACATGCACGCGAGACGCGTGAGCCTATGTGTCCTTCTCTCTAAAGATTGGGGATGAACCCTCCCCCGCTCGGCTGGTGGTGGGATCACTGTGGTGTGTCATGTTCACCATGTGGGCAGGCCCCAGGTTCACATCCCAGGTCTGCCTGAAGGTGCCAAGTGTGCCCACATGTTCACCCACATTTGTGGGCCAGCTGGCGGCAGGGCTGGGGGCGGATCGTGGCATGATGACCCTGTTGAAGGTGCCCCGCCCCCTGTGCTCCCCTCTCTCATGAAGGAAATGAACAAGTAAACTTTCCTTCAGAAGGGTGAAGCGTGATGGGCAGAGAGACACTGAGCATGTTTGTTTCCTGGTGTTCGGGCAGCATCCACCAGCCGAGCAGTGGCCTGCAGCCCTGAACCCACGGCCGGGCGCTGCAGAAGATCGCTCTGCACTTACCCAGCCTTAGCCCCAGCAGTCATGGCACGTGTGCTCTTGTTGGTGCAAGCGACCCTTTTCCTTTCTTTTTTGGAGAGGTTTTTGCTACCAGAAAGACAGAGAGAAACAGAGAGACAGAAAGTCAGAAATCACCCCCCAGTGGGGATGGCCACACCGCAATCCCTTCTCCTCCATTCTCCTCTTGGGATCTTGGGCACGCACGTACACACGCCCAACATGAGTTTAAGCCACCAGATCCAGGACTCGAACTGCAGTCGACTACATGGGAGTCCAGCGACATAGCCATTACGCTAACTGCTGGTCCCACAAGTGACTCTTTTTCCTGGAAAGACTCAGTGGTCCCGGGAAGGCCTCAAAGCTGGGTTTTGAAATGTGGCAGCAGTAACCAAATGCTTGTCTTCAGACTTGGAAAATAAAAGCTGGTTCTCAGGGGTCAGCAGGTGGCATGGTACTTAAGGTGCTGGAGTCCCACACGGCCAGCCATGATTTGAGTCCCAGACCTGGTGGCTTGACACTCACACTTGGCACATGTGCACATGTGCCCCAAATCCCCAGAGAATGGAGAAGAGATTGTGGTGTGGCCATCCCCCACCGGGAGGTGATTTCTCACTTTCCCTCTCGCTGCCTCTGAGCACACACATCCTGTAGCAAAAGCCAAAAACAAAAAGCTGGTTTCTGCAGTGTCTTTCGGTACTGAAAGAGTTGAGGCAGAGCGTGATGGGCAGCTTGCTTTCCAAGCCTCCCTGAGGCATCTTTGATGTGCACTGCTCAGACTACGAACCCGTGGGCAGTGGGGCCGCCCTGGGCAGCTTGGGCGGCAGGAGGCCCAGCTCATCCAAGAGAGTGCAGTGGCAGCGGGTGAGGTAGACCTGCCTGACCTCTACAGCATCTCCCGACCCACCAGGCTGGGGTGCCCCAGGGCTGCCTCCTCTTTGGCCCCTGTCCCTCTCGACAGGTTTCCCTTCTTCCTACCGAGCAGCCACCTTCTGCCAGGTATGTGTCTTCGGAGCAAGAGCAGCTTAAACTCTGTGTGTCCAGCTGCTTCTGTGCTGCCCGCTCCCACCTCCTGACCCCAGGCCTTTTCTCTGTCCCTGGTGTTCCCTAGTGGGGGAGGAACTTTTCTTTTTTTTTTAGAGAGAGATTTTTGCTACAGGGTTGGTGCACTCTCTGGAGAGGCAGAGAGATAGAAAGCAAGAAATCACCCACTAGGGGCGATGGCCATGCTGCAATCCCTTCTCCATTCTCCTCTTGAGATTTTAGGCACGCATACACATGTACCTGGCGTGAGTTTCAAGCCACCAGGTCTGGGACTCGAACCTGAGTCAACCATGTGGGAGTCCAGTGACGTAACCATTACACCACCTGCTGGTCCCGGGACTTCCTTTTTTCAGCACTATTATAGCCACACCACCAGATGTTGTAAGTGCCTTTGGATTGAGCCTGGAACTGTGTTATTGTCTTATTTTCAAGAGCAAAAGAAAATCTGGACCAGCAAATGGCAGAGCAGTTATGATGCTGGACTCCACATGGTGGACTGTAGTTTGAGTCCTAGACCGATGGCTTGAAAATCCACCCCCACCCAGCACATGTGCCCTAAGGCAAAAACCTCTAAAAAAAAAAAAAGAAAGAAAGAAAATCTTTTAAAACCCCACAAGTTTAAAAAGCAAAATGTGGAGGAAGAAAGCAATTTTAAAGCATTTTTTAGGTTACGTCCATTTTTCCATTCCACTGGGGGCCTGCTGTTGATATTTCACCAGGATAACAGTTTGTTTGCTGAGCTCAGACAGCTGAGAGAGCACCGCACCCTTGTAACAAACACGGGGAAGAAAGCCACAAACGGTCTTCCACCCAGCTTCCTGGTGACAGCCCAGCCCTCGCAGCCTTGCACACATACACCTGGCGTTGTGACAGATCGCAAGTGCTTTTGTTATTTGCAGAGGACGGGAACGTCATGAAGTTCGTGGAGAATGCGATTAAACTACGAGTTTATTTTGGTGTAGTTTTGGGGTTCGTGCACGTTTTTTCACAGTGTGCATCCCACACACTTGGTGGCTTCTGTGTCTGCCACGCTTTCTTCATCCCTCTGTCGATGGACACTTGGGCAGCTCCCACAACCTGCTGTGGATAACGCCATAGTGACCAGGGGGGTGCAGAGGCCTCCTGCACGGAGTTTTGCGATGTGGGGATGTGTCCCCAGAAGTGGCATTGCTGGGTTTAGATATCATTGCTGTGTGTGCTCTGAGGTAGGCCCCAGAGGCCGTTCCTGCGTGGATTCCCTGCTGTCCTGCCACCTCTTCCCACTGAACTGCAGTGTCCCCGCTGTGGGGTGGCCTGCGTTGTATGGGGCTCCCTTCTATGCCGTTGTCAGTCTATGCCCTTTAACAATACACACTGCTTTGGGGCCAGCAGGTGGCATGGTGGCTAAGGTGCTGAACTCTCATATGGCTGACTGTGGTTCGACTCCCGGACCTGGTAGTTTGCTTTTTCAAACTTTCCCTCTCTGTCTGGTGAGCGCATATGCCCTGTAGCAAACATAATAACTAAAATAAAATCTCTTGTAAGAAAAGAGCAATACATACTGCCTTAATATAACTCACCAAGTTTCAGTGTCATTGTGTGTAGAGGTCTTGTGCATCTTTTGTTAGATGTTTCACGGTTTTCCACCCTAAAGCAGAGACACTGGTACTCACTTCTCCCTTTCTCCTTTCCTGCGACTTGCATGTCTGTACCGGCTGGTTTTTGTTAGTCAGCACTGTATGCAGTGGCCTTGCCGAACTCATTTCTAGGTACGGAATGGTGTCTGTGAGGGATGTCGGCTTTTTTTGCTGTTGTCCCTCCTCTTCTAATCCTTGTGCCTCATGGGATTTGGAGCATAAGTGGTGTCAGCAGGCATTTCCTCCCCCGGCCTGAGGGGGCAGTGTTTGCATTGCACGGTGCCCACTCCTTGCATGTTCCCTTCTGCAAAGACTTTGGTTCCTTGTCAAGGGTTACCTTGCTTTTCCCCTGGGCCCCCCAGGGCATCCTGGGTCTGTGAGCACCACCCATGCAGGAGAAAGCACTGCCGCCTGGTCTCACCCTCGAGGCCCGTTCTGGGACATCTTCCCTTTGGCCATGGTGGGCAAAGGGACTTTAAGCAGGAGGGCAGGAGGTGAGGTGTGGCTGGCAGAGGCAGCCTGAGCCTGTGTCCTCCTGACCACCCACAGGTGAACCCCAACACCGGCTACATCGACTACGACCGGCTGGAGGAGCCCCCCCGCCTCTTCCACCCGAAGCTGATCATCGCAGGTGACGTGCAGGGCAGAGCGGCCTTCTGCACTGGCAGTGCCTCAGAACCAGGAGGCCGAGGGGTCTCTGCGCTGTTGTAGCTCACCGCTAGTGTCTACCATGGCCAGCTGAGCTCTCGGAGCAAAGCGTATTCCTCTCGCATACGTGTCTGTGTGCTGGTCTCAGAGATGTTAGGCCCTAGGAGACAGCACGTGGTGTAGTGGTTAAGATGCTGGACTCCCACATGGCTGACTGTGGTTTGAGAGATCACCAGGTGCGTGTGCATGCATGCTAAGAACTGCGGAGAAGGGAATAGTGGCGTGGCCATCCCCCTGGAGGATGATTTCTCACTTTCTCTCTCACTATCTCTGTTTCTGTCTCTCTCCTCTCTGGTAAAAACACACACCCTATGGCAAAAAAACTTTAAAAAAGGAGAAAGAACTGTTAGCCCTGGCTGCCTAGGGTTTGTGGCTGTAGCTGGGCCCAGGCCAGCCACCATGGCGTCCAGAGGCAGGCAGAGTGGCTGCCTTCTGCATGAAGATGGCATACTTGTTCTCTTCTCCAAGAGTTTAGAGGGAGAAAGCTCCAGGCTTGCAGGGGCCCTGTGCGGATGTGCGTGGAGGCCGACTCTGCTGGCCCCTGCAGCGCTGACTCACCCTTGTCGCCCTCCCGCCCCAGGAACCAGCTGCTACTCCCGAAACCTGGACTACGCTCGCTTGCGGAAGATCGCCGACGACAACGGGGCGTATCTCATGGCGGACATGGCACACATCAGCGGGTTGGTGGCGGCCGGCGTGGTACCCTCCCCTTTTGACCACTGCCACGTGGTGACCACCACGACCCACAAGACCCTGAGAGGCTGCCGGGCGGGCATGATCTTCTACAGGAGAGGTGCGCACCCGTGGGCAGGCGCTATGGCGGGCCTGGCTTCTGTGGGCGCCCGGATTTGGGGAAGGGTGTTAGGACAACGCTGACCTGGGGTCTTGGGGTCCTTGTCCCTTAAAGAGTTACAGGCAGGGGCAGGGACAGGCTCTATGAAAGCTCAGGAGTAAAGCCCTGAGCCACAGCCCTTGCCTCCCTCCTGCGTATCTGGGGCCCAGGAGGGCAGGCAGGAGGTCCCGGTACCCGGTGGCCTTTTGTCTGTCTGTGTGCTGTAGGCGTGTGTCCTTGCCAGAGAGAGAGCGGGAAAGTGAGAAAGCACCCCCCAGAGGGGATGGCCATGCACGAGCCCTACTCCATTCTCCTCTCGGGACTTTGGGTATGCCCACACATGTGCCCGGCACGACTGTCAAGCTGCCGAGCCTGGGACTGAACCATGCAGTCAGCCACGTGGGATCCAGCCACCTTAACCTCCGCACCACCTGCTGGCCCTCCGCTCTCCCCCATGTCCTCTTACTCAGCTAATCCCCCCAACACGAGCAGGGACGAGTGTGCGACGGGCTGGGGCCCACGGGAGGCCTCCCGGCGTGGCCTGCATTTGCCATTCCTGTGGTCTAGCACGCTTCTCAGAGACAGACTCACACCCGGCAGATGGGCCAGGGCCGCGCGCAGTCACTGCCGCGAGGAGTCGCTCTTTCCTGAGCCTCGCCTCAGGCTCCCCCTTACTTTGGCATTTCCACGCCTGGAAAGGCCCTCTGGTGCCAGCCCATTCGGCTCAGCTGCTGTGTGCTACTGCGGCTAGGCCCCCCGTGGGTGTGTGAGGCCTCCTGGTCGCGGGCTGAGAGGAGGTGAGTCAGAGGTGACAGGAGTACCGTCGTGGTGCCAGCGTCACCCCGGCCCAGGCACCCACAGGATGAGGCTGTCTGCCCTCAGGGAGCCAGGCCCGTGGTTCTCACCACCAGGAGAAGGGCCAGGCTTGTGCCTCACGCCCCCATAGCCAGTCTGCACGGGAGTCCAGAGCGGGAGCAGACAACAGGCGTCACTGCGGGAGGCATCCTGATGTCTGTCCTCGTCCAGGGGTGCAGAGCGTGGACCCCAAGACCGGCAAGGAGGTTCTGTACAACCTGGAGTCACTCATCAACGCCGCCGTGTTCCCCGGCCTGCAGGGAGGGCCCCACAACCACGCCATTGCAGGTAAAACGCCAGCATGGCCAAGCCAGAGCCTCTGTGGTCGAGGTGCACCTCAGCCATGGTGGCCCCCATGCAGCCTGGTGGCCCCCCGCCTTTCCTCATCCGGGTCTCCAGAGGGCTCTCCAATCTGGGAGATGCAACCAGGAGAAAAGGGCAAGGGTGGGGAGTGTGAGAGGACACAGGAGGGAAGGGCGCCCTCCACCCCAGCCGCCTGGGGAAAGCCGTGGTCAGGCCAGGTTCGGGAACGTTGTGGAGCCATCTTCCAGAGCTGAGGAAGGAACCCGACTGAGGAGAGGACGCACCAAGGGCCGAGGGAGATGAACGCCCACACCCTGTTGGACGAGCTGCCTTGTGCCCACTGGGCCTGGCCTGGACACTGGAGGCTCTGTCTGGCCTGCCCTGGGTAATTCCCGGGTCCCATCCCATGACCGCCCGGCAGGCTGTTGTTGACTCACTCCTTGTCAGGGGCATGGTGGGTCAGGGCGTTCGCGATGGCAGAGGCCCCGCCACCCGCCTTCTTGGAACAAGGCAGTTGGTAGAACTCACCTGGTGCCAGGAGCTAAGTGCAGAGGTGTGGCCTGCAGGGCAGGAGCAAGCACCCGCGTTTCCAAAGAGGACATGAGGGAGCAGCAACGGCGGTACCTCAGGCCCACGGCCCGGCAGGTGCTGGGAGCCTGGAGGCTGCTTGCATGGTCGCCCTGTACCCCTACATGCTCTATCCACGGCTTCTTCAGCCCAGAGGCTGGGTCGCCCGGTCACCGTCCGCTTGACCATCACAGCCATCCCACAGCGTTGATGGGACGTCCTCTGTTGGGGCCCAGGCCCCTGGGTTCGGCGTGGGCCTCCGTTTTTTGTGTCTCTTGAAGCAGCCATCAATCAGTAGGAATGGACACAGGTACCAGGCGTGTCTGCACGGTGCAGGGTAGGGCAGGGCAGGGCCTCCAGCCTGGGCCGTGCGGTAAGGATCTGTATAGGTGCCATTCTTACGCATCAAGCGTGAGAGGGACTGTACGCTCTCCCCACCCGGGTGACCTTCCTGTGCTGAACGTCCATGCCGAGAGGAGGGCCCCCTCAGCAGGGCCTCAGAAGAACGTTTCAGTGAAGGTCTGGACGTTTAGTCGGTAATCACAGGGGAAAATACCTCATCTAGGGGCAGACATACTCCACCCCGCTTTGGTGACACGGAGAGGCCAGGCGGCTTGCAGAGAACAGGGCTACTCTTCTGACTCGCGTCCATCTTTTGATTTGTGCCACCTTCCTGACCCCGTGTCTCCCTGTCCAGGGATTGCTGTGGCCCTGAAGCAGGCCATGACTCCAGAGTTTAAGATGTACCAGCACCAGGTGGTGGCCAACTGCAGGGCCCTGTCCGCGGCCCTGGTGGAGCTGGGCTACACGATAGTCACAGGTATGAGTAACCTGCCCTTCGTGGCTGCGGTAGGCCTGCTGTGTCCCTGGCGCCATGCCAAGCACCAGTTACAATCTTATTTTGCACAGAGAGATTTTTCCTATAGGGCATGTGTGCTCACCAGACAGATAGTGAGAAACCACCCCCTGGTGGGATGGCCATGCTGCAAGCCCTTCTCCTCCACGCTCCTCTCGGGATTTGGGGCATGCACACACACATGCCGTATCCAGGACTTGAACCACGGTTGACTATGTGGGAATCCAGTGATGTAACCACTATGCATCTGCTAGTCCCAAATCTTTCTATTCAATTGCTAGTGTACTTGCCAGGAGGAGAGGAAGCAGGAAAAGCTTCCCTTGATGAGGTGTCGCCATGCCTCCGTCCCTTCTCCATTTCTCCATCGTGTTGGGGTTCTGGGTACATGCACATGTGTGCCTGGTGTGTTTTTTAAGCCTCCAGGGCTGGAATTTGAACCACAGTCACCCATGTGGATTCTGGCTCCCTTAACCAATAGGCTAAAATTACCCGTCATTTTGTACACATGGACCTCTGACATTCCAAAGTATTCCAGAATGCTGAGCTGCCTGAATGACACCACACAGCAAGGAGCAGACCTGGCTGCGGGGCTCCAAAGCGGAGCTGTTAGCTCAGATCCTCTGCAATTTTGAGGTTGTCCCTGACCTCAGAGGTGAGACACTGCCATCCGCCAAGTTGACCATTGTTCTTGGTTTTGTTTTTTTTTTAAAGAATTATTTAATTTTATTCATTCATTCATTCATTTTAATTTGACCAGGGAGACACACACAAGAGAGAGAAAGAGAGAGGGAAAGTGAGAAAGCAAGCCACCAGGTCCAGGACTTGAACCGTGGTTGGCCATGTGGGAGTGTCCAGTGCCTTAACCACCATGCACCTGCTGGTCCCTTGGCCGGTTTTAAAGAAGGCTCAGAGAGGACAGTTGTAGGGAGCTGAAGACTCCTGTGTGATCTGGGCCAGCCCGGACTCTCTGTACCGTCTTGCTGTAGGATGTGTCTGACACCTGGTACAGGCAGGCCCCAGGTCCCTGTTCAGAGAGTTTCTTGGGCATGTGCACATGCCTATGATCCGGGGTGGGCCAAGGTGCCCAGACCTGGAGAGGGGCGTGCTATTTCTGGCTCTCTGGCTCATGGAAGAAAGAAACTAATAACAAGGGCCAGCAAGGCCCATGGAGATTAAGTGGCTGGGTCCCACGTGGCCAGCTTCGCGGTTTGAGTCTCAGACCTGGCAGCTTGAGAATCTCAGGCGTGCGTGCCCAAAACCCCAAGAGGAGAGTGCAGGGAAAGGGATTATGGTGTGGCCATCCCCTGGGGGGTGAGTTCTCACTTTGTCTTTCTAGCTCTCGCTCGTTCTCTGGTGAGCGCGCACACCCTATGGCAGAATATTAAAAAACAACAACAGCAAAACCTATAAAAAGCAAAAAAGATGGATGTCCAGACACAAGGGAAATGTCCAGGTAACCTGTCAGAGAAAACAGACCACGAATGGCTGAGCCAGCTGTCACTTCCTGAGACAAGCTGCAGGCCGGTGCCAGCACCTGGTATGTCCTTTCGGGGCATTTCACCCATCAGCCTCATTCCTCCTTGGTATGAGCAGTCACCCCTTTTAAAAGTCCTTTCAGGACCAGCAGGTAGCGTGGTGGTTAAGGAACCGGACTCCAACCTGTTGACCGCGATGTGAATCCTGGCTTGCTTTCTCACTTTCTTTCTCTCTCTGGTGAATGCATGTGCCTTATTTCACATTTAAAAATAATAATAAGGGGGGGGCAGCAAGTGGGGTGGTGGTTAAGCCCTAAGTAAATCTTTTTAAAAAAGGGACCAGCAGATGGCGTAATAGTTATGTTACTGGACACCCACGTAGTCAACCATGGTTCGAGTCCCAGACCTGGTGATTTAAAACTCATGCTGGGTGTGTGTGCGTGTGTGCCCAAAATTTTGAGAGGAGAATGGAGGAGAAGGGATTGCGGCGTGACCATCCCCCCTGGGGGGTGATTTCTTGCTTTCTATCTGGCAAGCACACATACCCTATAGCAAAAATATCTCCAAAAATTTTTTTTAGTAAAATAAATTCTTGGGAACCAGCAGTTAGCGTAATGGCTATGTCGCTGGACTTCCACGTAGTCGACCGTGGTTCGTGTCCCGGACCTGGTGGCTTAAAACTCATGCCGGGTGCGTGTGCGTGCGTGCCCAAGATCCCAAGAGGAGAATGGAGGAGAAGGGATTGCGGCGTGACCATCCCCCCTGGGGGGTGATTTCTTGCTTTCTATGTCTCTCTCTGTCTGACGAGCGCACACGCCCTATAGCGAAAACCTCCCCCCCCAAAAAAAAAAGATAAATTCTTTTAAATTTTGTGGCCCAGGTATTTCTAATTTTTTTTTTTTTTTTTTTTTTGCGCTGTAGGGTGTGTGCACTCACCAGAGAGACAGAGGAACAGAAAGTGAGAAATCAATCCTCCAGTCTCCTCTTGTGATTTTGGGCATGCACACACACCTGGCATGAGTTTCAAGCCGCCAGGTCCGAGGCTCAAACTGTGGTCTACCACATGTGAGTCCAGCGCCTTAACCACTACCCACTGGCACAGGCATCTTTTGTCCACTGGCTGACTAACTTGCAGGCCACACAGCAGTGTCCTCACGTCCCCTGCTTCGGTGTCCCACCGTCAAGTCTTAGAAAGACAGGTTTCTTCCCTGGACCCAAAACAAGGCTTCTGCATTTATTTCCAGGTGGTTCTGACAACCATTTGATCCTCGTGGATCTCCGTTCCAAAGGCACAGATGGTGGAAGGGCTGAGAAGGTGCTGGAAGCCTGTTCTATTGCCTGCAACAAGAACACCTGCCCAGGTGCGGCTCCCCCTCGGGCTTCCTCTCCACACTGTCTGCATTTCCTCTGGCAGGAGCTGTAGCTGGAAGGCATCTCACTCTGGGACAGGCTCTCTGGAGCCTGCTCTCTTGGTCTCAGCCAACTCTGCTTAGAATGGCTTAGAGTGGCCATGATGGGTGGCTGAGGGAGGTAGGGCCCTTGAGAATAGAAGCTGCATTCCTCAGTGAGTTCCTAAAACGTGACGTTGGGGCCAGGTTGCAGCACAGTGGCCATGCAACTGGGCCCAGTGGGAAAGGTGCTGGGTTTGCATCCTGGGACCTTCCTGAGTGCACCCGTGCCTGTGATCCAGACCAGCTGAAACTGCGGTGGGTCACAGTGTGGGAGCCCTGTCCATCTCTCTTTCATGGAAGAGATTAGTAACACTTTTGAAAATGGTGGCACATCTCAAATTCAGGCAGATGTCACCTTTATTTGTAGGAACAAGGGCCACATCACAGAAGACCACTTTGCATGCTAGAGTGGCGGGGGACCAGCAGTTAGCGTAATGTCGTTGGACTCCCATGTAGTCGACCGCGGTTCGCGTCCTGGACCCGGTGGCTTAAAACTCATGCCGGGCACGTGTGCGTGCATGCCCAAGATCCCGAGAGGAGAATGGAGAAGGGATTGTGGCATGGCCATCCCCCCTGGGGGGTGATTTCTCGCTTTCTGTCTGTCTGGCAAGCGCATGCGCCCTATAGCAAAACCTCTCCAAAAAAAAAAAGAAAAAAAAAAAAACAGAGTGGGGGGGACCCTCAGGTGGGGTGGTAGTTAAGGGGCTGGACATTCCCACATGGCTGACCATGGTTTGAGTCCTGAACCTGGTGGCTTGCTTTCTCATGGTCTGTCAAATAAAATTAAGTAATTATTTTAAAAAAACAGAGTGGGTGGGCTTGCCCAGTGGCCTCTTGGTTAAAGAACTGAATCCCACCTGGCTGATTTTGCGGTTTAAGTCCAAAACCAGTGGCTTAAAAACATAGCGGGCACCTGTGTGCGCAGGACCAGCACCCAGACAGGATGGAGAAGTGGAGAGGGCATTGTGGCATGACCACACCCCAGCGTGGGTATTGTCCCTGTTTCTGTCTCTGGGGAGTGCACAGACCCTCTGGCAAACCTTTAAGAAAGGAAAAGAAAAAACAGGCTTTCTGAAATGCGATTCTCTCCCTTGTGCCTTTGGTTTAACCTCTAAATTTTTACTCTTCCTGCTACATGGAGCCAGTACCCTAAGGCCAGTTCTTTTTTTTTTGCTATAGGGCGCATGCGCTCGCCAGACAGACAGAGATGTAGAGACAGAAAGCGAGAAATCACTCCCCAGGGGGGATGGTCACGCCACAATCCCTTCTCCTCCATTCTCCTCTCGGGATCTTGGGCATGCACACACAGGCGCCCGGCGTGAGTTTTAAGCCACCAGGTCCAGGACGCGAACCGCGGTTGACTACGCGGGGTCGTGGTGGGGGTGATGAGAAAGCAAGCCACCAGGTCTGGGACTCGAACTGTGGTCAGCCATCTGGGAGTCTAGTGCCTCAACCACCATGCCACCTGCTGGCCTCAGGCTAGTTCTTTTTTTGCCCAATTGTCTTTTTATTTATTTATTTATTTATTTATTTGGAGAGAGGTTTTAGCTATAGGGCACGTGCGCTCACCAGAAAGACAGAGAAACAGAGAGATGGAAAGTGAGAAATCACCCCCAGGGGGCATGGCCACGCTGCAATCCCTTCTCCTCCATTCTCCTTTTGGGATCTTGGGCATGCACGCACACGCACTCGGCGTGAGTTTAAGCCACCAGGTCCAGGACTCGAACTGCAGTCGACTACATGGAAATCCAGCAACATAGCCATTACACCAACTGCTGGTCCCCCAAGGGTCCTTTTTAAGTGTGGTAGTCACAAGCTGGTCAGTGGTACAGTGGTAACAATGCTCTGTGCTGCTGGGTACATGTGGGAAGGGCCTGGGTTCTGGTCCCAAGGTCTCCCTGTACACGCCAGGCAGACATGCCAGTGACTTGGGGTTGGGTGGGGCCGAGGGTGGATTATGGCATGAAGCCCCTGTCAGGAGTGCTGCCTCTTCCTCTCTCTCATGGAACAACTTTAAAAATAAACAAATACAAAAAAGCTATAGTCACAGTGGGGAGTTGGGTAAAGCTTGGGGACAGAACCCTGTGTATCTTAAAGGTGACCAAAGCGCACTGCGGCCCAGCGGACTGCGACTTGGGACCCCAGCACTGACATCCCGAGGACTTTTGGAAGAAGACTTCCACAAAGTAGCTCAGTTTATTCACAGAGGTAAGGATGATGTTTTGGAATTTGCTACACATTATTGGCCGTAGGAGGTTTCTGATCACGGCTGAGTGCTAGCAACGGGAGGTGACAAAAATCATTTTGTCAGAGAGGTTTACGAAGGTGTGCTGCTCATGGAGGAATGCACACGAGGCCATTTCTGAGGTGCAGGTTGACACCTAAGCTGTCACGCTTCCGGCCTGGGGGTGCAGGGCAGGTTGGCCTGCTGCGGGCTTCCCACCACGGCGGCCCAGAGGGTGCTCATCCACACCTCGTTGGCCCAGGGATAGAGCTCACACTGCAGATTCAGGATGACGCTGGCGCCCGGGCCACCATGAAGGAGTTCAAGGAGAAACTGACAGGGGACGAGAAGCATCGAAGGGCCGTGCAGGCCCTGAAGGAAGAAGTGGAGCGCTTCGCCTCTGTCTTCCCGCTGCCTGGCCTGCCTGACGTCTAAGGAGCCAGCCTGCTCCCTGCCCTGGCGCTGCTGCCCCGCAGGGGGTAGAGGAGGCGCTGAGGACGCCACCTGCCCACCCAGACCAGGTGCCTTCTCTGGGGACACAGAGAGCTGCCTCACAGGAACCCAGTTAGCATCTTTGTGCCCTCTGATCTGAGTTTTCTTTTGAACTATTTGCATGTTTTCTTACAAATAAAAACTGAAGTCCTGGGGCCAGCCAGTGGCATAGTGGTGAAGGCAGCTGGACTCCCACATAGCTAACTGCATAGTTTGAGTCCCAGATGCAGAAGCTTGAAGAACATGCCAAGCATGTATGCACTGGTGCCCAAAATCCCAGGACTGCAGTGTGGCCATCCCCGAGGGGTGCTTTCTAGACCCTGAGAGCACACACACCCTATACCAGTCTTAAAACGAAACAAAGCCTTAGTCCTGTTGTTATTCTGGGACGGGTCAATTTTGTTTTTTTCTTGTTTTTGTTTTTGCCATAGGATGTATACACTTGACAGAGACAGGAAGAGGGAAAGAAAGCATCCTCCATGAGGGATGGCCATGCTGCAGTCCCTTCTCCATTCCCCTCTCAGGATTTTGGTTGCGCACACACAAGCTACCCAGCATGACTCCTTTTTTTTTAAGAAATTTTTGTGGGACCAGCAGTTAGCATAATGCCTATGTCACTGGACTCCCACGTAGTCGACCGCGGTTCACGTCCTGGACCCGGTGGAAAACTCACGCCGGGCGCATGTGCATGCATGCCCAAGACCCCGAGAGGATAACAGAAGAAGGGATTGCGGTGTGGCCCCCCCCCCGGGGGTGATTTTTTTGCTTTCTGTCTCTCTGTCTCTGGCGAGCGCACGCACCCCGGCGCGGCACCACCCCGAAGGCAAAAAAAAAAAAAACCCTCTTCAAAAAAAAGGTTTTTTTTTTGCTACAGGGCGTGTGCACTTACCAAAGAGACAAAGACAGACAGACAGAAAGCAAGAAATCACTCCCGGGGTGGTATGGACATGCTGCAATCACTTCATTCTCCTCTCAGGATCTTTGGTAAGCAAGCACATGCATGAGTTTAAGTTGCTGGGTCCAGGACTTGAACCACGGTTGACTATGTGGGAGTCCAGCAACATAACCGTTACACCATCTGCTGTTCCCCTTAGAATGATTTTCAAGACCCACAGGGTCTGGGACTCAAACCACCATCAGCAGTGTGGCAGTCCAAAGCCTTTAGCCACTATGTTGCCTGCTGGCCCCATGCAACGAGTTAAGGAATTCAATTTGAGCCCCACTTTCTCACAGCCCTTTGTAAAATAACCCTGTGTAGCCATTTAGCCTTGGTCACTCAGACAAGTGGGGTGGGGAAAAGCCACCAGAAGGATCCAGTATTTTACACCCCCTTCTCTCAGGGTACTGGCTTCCCTCACCTCGCTACACAGATAAGCAACACCCAGGTTCACAGGGTACACTCTGCACTGTCTCCATGCTTCTTGTCACTGAAGGGGTCGCCAAAGTACTGAATCATGACCCTTCCAACCGAAGAGGGGAATTCCTCTGAAGCTCCTGCTCTAGGTCATGGATCGGAATTACAGGTTAGACCAGTCTATCTGGGTGCACCCGTGTGGAGGGAGGGTTGTGCCATCAGCAGCCCACAGTATGCTGTGGGATGGCCTTGCCCACTCACCTAGGTGCCCCGTCCCATCAGGTGTGAGTCGGCCCACGGCTCTCCTGTTCTGAGATAACCAGCTCTCTACTGTAATCAGGAACACAGATGTCACCTTCCTAAAGAAACTTTATTTTTCACATCGCTGAAGTGCAAAACGTGTGACCATTTTTAACACACACAACCCAATTTACCGTGGTTCGTGTCTCGGACCCAGTGGCTTAAAACTCATGCCGGGCGCATGTGCTTGCATGCCCAAGATCCTGAGAGGAGAATGGAGAAAAAGGGATTGCGGTGTGGCCATCCCCCCTGGGGGGTGATTTCTTGCTTTCTGTCTCTCTGTCTCTCTCTTCCTGTCTGGCGAGCGCACGCACCCTATAGCAAAAAAAAAAAAAACCCTCTTCAAAAAAAAGGTTTTTTTTTTGCTACAGGGCGTGTGCACTTACCAAAGAGACAAAGACAGACAGACAGAAAGCAAGAAATCACTCCCGGGGTGGTATGGACATGCTGCAATCACTTCATTCTCCTCTCAGGATCTTTGGTAAGCAAGCACATGCATGAGTTTAAGTTGCTGGGTCCAGGACTTGAACCACGGTTGACTATGTGGGAGTCCAGCAACATAACCGTTACACCATCTGCTGTTCCCCTTAGAATGATTTTCAAGACCCACAGGGTCTGGGACTCAAACCACCATCAGCAGTGTGGCAGTCCAAAGCCTTTAGCCACTATGTTGCCTGCTGGCCCCATGCAACGAGTTAAGGAATTCAATTTGAGCCCCACTTTCTCACAGCCCTTTGTAAAATAACCCTGTGTAGCCATTTAGCCTTGGTCACTCAGACAAGTGGGGTGGGGAAAAGCCACCAGAAGGATCCAGTATTTTACACCCCCTTCTCTCAGGGTACTGGCTTCCCTCACCTCGCTACACAGATAAGCAACACCCAGGTTCACAGGGTACACTCTGCACTGTCTCCATGCTTCTTGTCACTGAAGGGGTCGCCAAAGTACTGAATCATGACCCTTCCAACCGAAGAGGGGAATTCCTCTGAAGCTCCTGCTCTAGGTCATGGATCGGAATTACAGGTTAGACCAGTCTATCTGGGTGCACCCGTGTGGAGGGAGGGTTGTGCCATCAGCAGCCCACAGTATGCTGTGGGATGGCCTTGCCCACTCACCTAGGTGCCCCGTCCCATCAGGTGTGAGTCGGCCCACGGCTCTCCTGTTCTGAGATAACCAGCTCTCTACTGTAATCAGGAACACAGATGTCACCTTCCTAAAGAAACTTTATTTTTCACATCGCTGAAGTGCAAAACGTGTGACCATTTTTAACACACACAACCCAATTTTTAACCACAGAATTTCTACAAGTGTTAAGAGCTTTTAAAAATACAACCAATTTTTCTATTTCAAAAATATTTGAACTCAAATAAATTAATTTCTTAAAAAGTACATTTCTCACACTATTTGTTTGGCATTGCTCTGGTTGAACTTCTGTGCAGCGACCCCGGGGAGGGGCCGGGACCCACTCCTGCACCAGCACAGGCCCACTGCAGCTCCCGGGCGGGGCTCACGTTCACAGACAGCAACGGAAACGTGCAGTAGTAAAATAGCTTTTGAAAATAAACAAACGAGTTCATCGCAGACCACCTCTGACTGCAGTCCTGAAGGTGACATTTACCTTAATCCACCCTGTGACACCAACTACCCAGCGTGGCAGTCTGGGTGAGGCACCCACAGTGCCACCTTGCCGATGGTCATCTGTCCTTGGTGCTCACTCGGGTGAGCGGGGACGGCTGCTGCAGTCTCCAGGGGTGTGTACCATTTGCCGGCCCCACATCTCTGCCTGCATTTGGGAGCTGCCAAAGCAGTCTGAATCCAGGGGCTCGCCTCCTCCCTAGCTGGAGACAAGTATTTGTCTCCAAAGACATCTCCCGTGGAGCTGCAGTCCCTCCCAGGATGCTGGCTGCAGAGTCCCCCCTCCTCCTCACCCCTATCTCCCCCTTCCCATAGCTTTAACCGAAGCTCGAAGTTCAGTATGCACGTGGATAATGGGCCTAGGAAGCTTCAGTGTTCCCAGTCCTCAACTGAGATTGGTTTTGCTTTCCAGCCAGAGTAGAAATGTGATTTTCTGTTGTCACGCTGTCTTACTATCACTTTTAGTTTCCACTTTTATCACAGTATTGGGGCGAAGCCAGAAAGCTGGCTGGTTTGCTTTTCAGCACAAGCCAAGGCACTTCCCTCAGATCTTTGCAGGGCGGCAGGAGGTAAAGGGGACTGCCCACTGCAGCACAGCGCCTACTGAGGCCCCAGGGGCTGACGGTGCTCCCGGCTGTGCAGGTGAAGATGTGACGGGGCAGCACCAGCCACTGACCCCACATGCAACACGGCCTGGGTGTGGAGCATGCGCTCAGCGCTGGCAGAGCGGGTGGGTTGGCATGCAAGGTGTTTGGGGAGCAGAGGCTGCACTTTTGCCACCAGAACCATGTGACTTGACCACAGGACCCCGGCAGCCAGGTAGGACCAGTCACCTTCCCAGTCTTGAAATGGGCGGTTGAAAACTATTGAACACAGCAACCGGCTGGAAGTGGAAAGTCAGATGGGAGATGACAGGCAGGCACCTGCAGTCCACTTCCGAATCCTGGAGCACTGTACCTTCAGCCGCTGCAGGAAACTGCAGACACACCACAGCTTCTGAATTCCAGCGGTCCCTCCAAAGGAGAGCTCCCAGGGGCATGGCGAGGCCTGAGGCCACAGCTGGGTGGGTGAGTGGGTGGGAGGCTCTAATCCATCTTCAACACGGAGGTGCTGCTGATCCCCTGTGCAGAGCCGCCAGCCCAGTCAGGGTGTGCTGAGCCTGGGCTGCTTTAAACAGGCAGATGGGGTGACAAGTTGGAGGTGGGAACAGACCAGTGTCAGCGCCTAGGCCCTTGGAGTGAGTGAGGACTGGAGAAGTACCAGGGGTACTCGTGTCATCTATTTTCTGGGGAGTGTTTTAAATATTTTATTAGAACTTACCTATTCCTAGAGAAATACCTCAAGAGAGAATGTGAAGAAAGCAGTCAGTCCCGCTGCGTGGGTCTCCCACCACTATGGTTTACAGACAGGAAGGGTCTCAGGTCCACGTTCTCGAGTGGAGGTGGGCTGGGGAAGGGCGGGGCTCTGTGGTGCCGCCGCCCCCACCTGACCCAGGACTCCTTTGGAAGGAGGCACACCCTGCATCAAGTACTCCGAAACTGCACACTGAAGAGCCGGGTTTTAGCCAAAACCGAACTCCCAGGGTCCGAGCCCTAGTCAGTGACGCCATCTTTACATCATGAGGAGCCACCTTGAGGGACGTGCCCCGCCTGCCATCTCTGGCTGTCCTAGGGCAGTCTGGTCTGGCCACTCCCTGCTTATCTCTTGCCTGAGTCCCCAGCACCTGGAGCTGCCCGAGGTTGAGCACGGTGCGGAGTGTCTGTCATGTGTCTGCTAAGAGCACGGGAGCACACGGCGTTACTTCTGCAAGCCGAGGACGGCTGGCTGACCAAGTTCAGCGTCCGCCTGGAACGTCGTCCTGCTCGTATCAGTTTCCCAGGTGAGAACAGAGTTAGCTGTGAGTGTCCACACCGGTGTGACACCTTGGGGACGCAGGTGCCTGGTACCAGCAGTCACTCTCCAGCTTGTCATTCAAACCCCACAGACTTCCCTTCCCTTCAAGACAAAACGCCCCAAAGGCATGTCCTTGGGGACAGACAGCAGTTAACCACCTCGTCAGAAAACAGGACGGTACCTGGACACAAGGGGTGAGGGAGCAGCCGAGGGAGCCCACGCAGGCAGACATGTCTCCTGCACGGCGGCCTGCCTGATGGGCAGATGGACACAGCACACTTACACGCTGCCAGGGGGTCCTGGCAACTCTCCATAAAGGCGTGCAGTGGGCACAGGGAGAAGGAAACGACAAGACCTCCATACACCAGGGTCACAGCCGGGCCAAGAGTGGACCACACGAGTGACGTCACACAGGCCCCCTGCTGGGTAAGAGGAGGAGCAGGCCCCCTCTGTGAGTGACAGCCGGCAGGGGGACGAGGTCTCAGCAGCAGGACCCAGGGTACGGTGCTGTGTCAGACAGATGCACTCTCATGTGGCTGACCCAGGGTCACTAGATCACAATCTTTGTGGAACAAATTGAAAGCAGCAGCAATACCCAGAGTCTGGCCCACCAAAAGGGAAAACCAGCTTCTATAATATGACATAAAGTCTTCAGGGCTGAGAAACCCTCCATCCACGCACCCATGGCAACTGTGTGGAGTCTTGGAGGCCAGGGAGCACGTCCGGGGGAGCTCCCCTGGGACGATGAGTGTGGTGGTGGCTGGATGCACAGCTTCCCGGAGGCAGGTCCCCAGAGGGGAGCACACAGGAAGAAGCTGGCTCAGGTCATCCCTGCCACGTGAGACCACCAGAGCCAGCTTGCTGAACAGAAGTCCACTATGGCCGTGCCACTGGGGCCCTGCAGAGGTAGTGAACTGGTTGCACAGGTGTGTTGTGGGTGAGGATTGGTGGGGACTCTCTGCCAGGTCTAGGGGATCTGCAGACCTTCCCTATGAGCAGCTAGCCCTGGCCCACTCTGCTAGGGAGCCAGGGGTGGCCCCAGGGAGCCATGGCCACTGATCCCCCATCTCGTGGCCATGCTGTCTGCATTCCCCCCAGGCTCCCACAGCATTCTTGCCACCTGTTCCTTCCTGCTGCCCATGGGAAGTAATGCTCACCAACCTTGGGGCCAGGGTCAAAGGACTTGGCTCAGTCCACCAGGCCCTTTGTGATCTGACCCTGCCGGTTCTCAAGCCTCCCTCATCTGTTACTTCCCCAAATGGACTGTCCTGGGACCACGCCAAACTGTCAGTGGGGCCTCCGAGGGCCTGACCTACTTGCTGTGGCTGGAATGCCTTCTCTCCCTGGGGAGGCGGCCAGGCTCCCTGCAGCCCCGTGGACCCGAGCATGCACTTCCTGCTGCCCCGCCTCCACATGTCCAGGACCTCCCCTGAGGTGATGGGCTTAGAGGCCAGAGAAAGGGCCGCGGCTGGGGTCTGAAGGAGGCAATGGATGCACTGTCGTCGTGTTTTCCCCAGTCACCGCCGTGAACGGGCTGCCTCCCTGGCAAGTTTGGCTGCTCGAGTGTCTGACGGTGTTGAGAATGGCTCTGACGTACCAGCGTTTACCTCTTCTCCTGTGCCCTGGCTGCCAGTCCTTGGAAAGCAAGACCCAGGGGCCACCCTTCACCAGGGATCCAAGAGCCTGTTACTGTCCTGGACACCTGCAGAGCCAGCTGCCACCTCAGCCCACATCCAGCTCGCAGGCTGCCGGGGGCGGTATCGGAACCCCGGCTCCCACTGTGGTTTCTTTCCCACTCAGGCGACCGTCTGGTCATGCCAACCCCTCCCCTCCCATACCCTGAGAGTCATAGGTCTGGGTCACAGTGGCTGGGACTGACCTCAGATTTTGTACAAAAAGCTGGGGACATAGTCAAACCTGAGCATGGGGTGGCCGGTCCCGGGAGACTCCTGCAGATAGTGCAGCTTCAGCAGCTCCGCCAGGTACTGGACCACCCTGGCGTCCTCATTAACCAGACCCAGGTCCAGCTTCAGGAAGCTGGCCTGGCGGCTGGCACGCAGCTCCTCCGTCTCCTTGTCGTGGGCCGGCAGCTGCAGGTGGTGGCAGAAGGTGTAGAGGAAGGCCTTGGCGCAGAGCTGGGTGAGCATGCTCTGCACGTGCAGGTAGTAGGTGCTGCCCCGCTTGATCTGCGTGCGGTGGTCTGCCAGGCGGGGCACCAGGGTCCCTCTGTAGAGGGGGCAGCGCAGGGTTTTGTTATCCAGGTCCAGGATGCTCGTGTAGCGGCTATAGCGGCTCAGGGCATGCAGGGTGCCAGCACTGGCAGGGGAGGCCACTCTGAAACAGACAGGGCGAGTGTCAGACAGATGCAGGCAGGAGCTTGGGCGGTGGGGCTCCCTGGCCGGTGCCCAGCACCAGCCCACACTGGCTCTTTCTGGAAGGCAAATGTGACCAAGTTCAAGCACCCTGGCTTGGCCCAGGCTAGTCATTTAGTGAT